GCAAATACCTTTTCTCTAAATGACTGTTAAAGGAGCTCTGTGAAAAAAATTCCATCTCATTAAAAAGGATCAGGCAGAAGATACAAGAAGAGGTTTTTTAGGCATTCAGTGTAGACCTTTTCTCCTTCAGGCACCTCAAGAAAAATAACTCCATCATAGAATGTGTTCTGCTCACTTGAGTCTGTTTTGAAATGCAAGCTCTTCTGGAAGTCTGTTTTGCAGTGCATCTTGGCTGTGAAGTTTAAGAACACTACTGAAGCTCTGCCTGAATGTGTTTTTGGCCAGTGTGTCCCTGTGTTCATACACGAATGCACTTTTAGCTAGAACAGCTCTCATGTATATATTCATGCATTTTATTTTGCAGTCTTTCATGCTGTTGAGATCAGATTAATAGGCCTAAGTTGTACGTGTTGTTTCTTCCCATTCTCCATGAATAGTTCTGCTTTTGGGTACTTCTGCTAATGCCACCCGTAGCTGACTACCCTCATGTGACATTTCTTGTATGTTTTACCCTTCTTTTATCCAGTTCCAGGAGCCTCAGCAAGTCGGATGTGCCAAACACCATGTTTCCTCAGTGTTTATAGACCCATAGCTGATAACTTCTGTTCATCAGTACTTCTCAGTTTCCTTTGCTTACATTGATCTTTCCAGATAACTGCTGGAAGAAATTACTTGATCTGCAGTGCAGGGCTCCAGACTGGTGTGTTGGGCCCCTACGTAGGTTTGTTACAACTTCAACACTGAGAAATGCCAAGCATAATCCAGTTTGAAGAGTCTGAGCTCCGTAGGAATAGCATTTTTATTTTCTAGCCTGTGTCTACAAAGTGAGTCTACAGTCAGTGAATTTCTGGAAGAGTATCGTTAACTTTAAATGTTTTGTGTTTTGCAGTATGCTCCTTGTACTGTACTGGTAAGCATCTTAATGTTCTTTATAATTTTTTAGGTTAGTGTGGGTAAGTTTTGCGGGAGTGTATACTAGACACCATGATACTTAAGTCATAATGAGGATTTTTAAAAAGAAAACCTAAAGAAACTACCTTACACAAAGCTACTTACATGAATATTACGGAGTATTTAGTATAACTGTTTTCTTCAGGTAGACTTGATAGTTGCATCAAGTTGCTGCTCCATACAGCTTGAAATAACAAATAAACTTAACATGGGTGTGTCATAATATTTTTTTTTCACATTTTAACCAAGAATGTCAATATTTGATGTAAAGACAACTGCTCTCTAAGACTGTTAGTCTCACTCTCAGATGTTGAAAGTGGAGAGTGCCTGTCAAATCCTTTCCTTTTGGAAGGGCAACCACTACAATTATAAATCAGAGCTTCTTCCAGAGGAAAAAAGAATTTGAAAGTTGTCTTCATGCAGAAGCTAAAAACTTACTGGCCTTTTCAAGGGGTTGGTTGGTAAAACCAAGCCTGGCATGGGTTCCTGGGCTTGGGGTCCAGGCTGTCCTGTGGTCTGTTTGTCACAAGTTCCTCCCAGGTTTTCTGGGGAGGTGGTCATGCATACAGCAACTGGACTGTCTGATATTTGCCTTCAGCCCTTTTAAAGTAAAAAGGAGATGGTGGTCTCAGTTTGTCTTGCGCTTCATCCTCAGTGCAGAACTCATTTAAGAAGTGGCATTTGTCCTAGTTTTAGTATGACATTAAGATCCTGGACATGAGGCAGGACGAGAGGTAATAGGCACAAACTGAAATACAGAAAGGTCTCTCTGAACATTGAGAAACACTACTTCACTGTGAGAGTGACTGAACACAGGGACGAGTTGCCCAGAGAAGAGGTGGAAGCTCCATCTGTGAAGATTTTCCAAAGCCATCTGGACGTGGTCCTGGGCAAGCAGCTCCAGGTGGTCCTGCTTGAGCAGGGGCTTGGATTAGATGACCTCCAGAGGTCCTGTCCCACCTTAACCATGCTGTGATTCTGTGGCCTTTGACCACAGGGGCCGTAGGCACTTCTTTGATGCTTTGAAATAGTTACATGAGGAGCTGATTCCTGTTTCATATACTTGACTGTGGTTAGGCTCAGGCAGCCTGTCCATTTGTGAGTTCTTATATGAATAAAATGTGTGAGATTATCTCTGAGCTAGAGGGACGAGCAGGCTGTTTTGATATCTGGAGCCTTCTGCAAATTAGGATGATTCATAAGCTCTGTAGACGTAGCTTAGCCATTTAAATTCAAGGCCATCCCTTTTCATTTATCTTGTTGCTTGGTGATATCTGCTTACTTGTTCTAGAGCTATATCCAAAGAGGAGACCTCTGTGTGCTAGATATCTGTTCTGCAGTGCTGCTCTTAGAAAGAGTAGAAATATCCATGGAAATTGTTCAGCCCATCATCATGACACTGGCAGCTTGTTTGCTGAGCGTCCTCTTCTGCTTTCTGAAGCTGTGGAAATAATTTAACACACCTAAGGCAAATGTAAATTACAGAATAGACTCTTCTACAGCAATGACACTACCTATATGTCTCTTTGCTAGAAATGCCAGTGAAGTGGCACCACTGATGCTGGTGGCTCAAAATCCTGGGATTGATCCGACAATGATTCATGGTACTTCCTTTGTTCTTAGATAAAGTTCCTCTTCAAAAAAGTTGAACGATAGCATGCTGACAAATTAGCCAAATAAATGAGGCTCCTAAAATTGCAAGATGGAGCTTGCAGTTTCTGTTGTGTGTGGAAGTAATAGCCTGTCGAAATAGCAGCCTGACAAATGTATGCTACAGCAGCAGTTTGCTTGTCAGGTGCTTGTGTGTCATTCACAGCAGATATTTCTAGAGGAAGCATGAATGGGCGTCCCGATTTTAGTAACATGGTTGATTTTTTCTGAGGTTATTTGCTGTGGATTTCTTGTTCTTTCTGGTGGTAAGGCAAGGTTGGTTTGTGCTTCAAACATGCAATTGAAAATCCCTCTTCTAGCAAATTAGACCTGTGGTGCTCAGCAGCAGATGTTGTCTGTGGGAAGCAAATATCCTCTTCTTTTCTCCTTTCCACTTTCTCTTTTCTGTTCCAAATGGATCATGAGGGGCTGACAGCAGGCCCCACAAAGGGCAATGCTGTGACCAGCCATAACCTTGTGTACTATTTCCCTCCCCACGGCAGCAGGGTGGCACTATTCAAGATCAGTGTGTAACACCGTGGGCTCTGGAGACGCAGGGGCTGTTGGGGAGCACGCAAGCATTGCTGCTGGGGAGTAGAAACAGGGTTTAAGTGTGTGAGGCAGGTAATGGGATATAGCACCTCGTAGCCCAGTAAATCAGTACTAGCAAGCTTTGTAAAGATGACGTGAAAGGTTTTTCTGGATGTTTTCAGATCACCAGTAATGTTTACCTGTGTGTGTGACTAAGAACAGCTGGCAGCTGCTCCCACAGTCTGCCGGTAGTGCTGTTGGTGGCATCTAGGCAAAGTCAGGGATATCCTCTTTTGGAGGTGGTTTCCTGATCTCGACTGTAAAACCAGCTGATGATTTTGTTCCTCCGAGTTAATCGCTGATGATAAGCACGCTGAGCAATTCCAATGCAGACAGTTCCATTCTTTTCTGTAATTTCTTCAGCGCTGAATCTGTATTTGTGTGTAGAGCATGGTTGGATTTCTTGACGTCAGCAGGTGTCAGATGAAGAAAGACTGTGCGTTGGATATTGCAGTTAGCTATGATTGTGGTATCACTTTGCTGTGGAGTTTTGTGGTGTGGGAGTCTGTATGGAAATGGGATTAGATGTGGCTGTCTGGCACCACTTTCTCTTGGAAGGGTGTGCAACTTTGAGTAAACTTGAATAAATTGCTGGAAGTGCGTGTTCACGGCTTCTGGCACAGATTAATTTCTCTACACAAACTCCAGGAGAGGTGCTGTTTCTGTGCTGGTATGTTGGTTTCAACTGGTTGGGGAAAAGAAAGCAGTGGCAGTGTAAATGCAGAATAATTTAGGCTAGAAGGAGCCTCAGGAGGTCATGCCTCTGCTCAAAGCAGGATCACTTTTGTTATGAATGTATTTATAAACTTCTTTTCTTTAACATCCTTTTCACCAGCCTGCTTGTACTTGGTTAATGTCCGTGCAAACGTGTATTTGGCAGTACCGGCTCCAAATGAGCACATTAAGTGAGGTGAAGAATGAATGCATACGGGTCATGACTGAATTACTCAGACAGAAACTTGTTGCAAAAAAAATCTCATCTTTAGCCACTAGTCTCACCTGCCTGCTCAAAAGAGTGTCTATATGAACTGCAAAACATTTCCGTGGTACAAAGGGTGTGCCAAGATTAAGTGTTTAAATTCTCTGGCTTCCAAGAAGAATGATACTGGAATGCAACTGCTGAATACTGTTTGTCTTGCTGATGAGAATTTGTTTGAAAAAAACTGTTGTATAATCCAGGGAACAATATCAAAGGTAATAGGTAGATTGTCCTTGAGCTTTTTTTGACGCAGGGGTAATGTCACCTTTGTCAGCACTTGGCAGTCTTCTGTTTTAGCTCAAGTAGAATTTGAAGGTTAATGGTCTAAGTGTTTCAAAGATTCCTGTCTTCTTAATTATAATTTCTGTTGCTTTTTCTGTTGTCCTTTATAGCATGGTGTTTATATTTCTTAAGGTAATTAGCTAACTGTTTAGGTGCTTTTAGCACATGGTGGAAGTTTAATAAGTATAACTGTTTTATGAATATTATGTATATAAAATCTGTACCTAGATTTTCAATTATTTAGCTGGTTCAGGGAAGGAAAAGTGTCTGAAGTGGCTTAGCAGTCAGTGTAGCATACCTGTTTGCAATTGTGTAGAGCCTTTAAAAGGTCTGTGATTCTTGGCTGCTATGTCCATGTAACTTATTTAATGAACTGGTCGGTGTAAACTGACTGATATGTATATGTAAGTAATGGAATGCTTATAAAAGCATGTTTCTTTATTGAGATAAAACACCTGGGTTTTTTGTAGCTTCTATTTATATTACTGAAGAGCACTTACTGTAGTGATCAGCTTCTATAAAATCAATTTATGTCTTATAGCTTGCGTTGAAGGGATCTAACTATGCTGGTCTGCTGGAGCGGCATCGCATTCATACAAAAAATGTGGAACATGTTGTCGACAGTTTACGGTAAGAATGTATATATGATGAGGATTTCAGAAGCAGTACAAATATCCATGGATTGTGTAAAACAACAAAAGTAAGCTTTGTGCTACAAGTGCTAATAAAATAGGAATACTGAAAGCAGTATGATACAGATGAGCAGTCATTCCTGAAATAAATGTAATATGAACTAGCTCAGTTCACTTAACTAACGCACTGTGTTATTGTCCTGAAAACAAATGAAAAAGATGTAAAGGATTTGTTTGAGTGTCAAATGCTTCTAAGCCAAATACCACTGTAATTAGTCCTTAATTACATATCAGTTTTTCAGAAGGATGTGACAAGGAACAATATAGGACACATTCAGACATTTTCTGCACTTTATAGGAATGAGAGGATAGAAGTTCGTCTCGTTAAACGTCGAGAATATAATGAAGAGACAGTTCGGTGGGCAGATGCTGTTATATCAGCAGGAGGTACGACTTTGTGGAAGGGAAGTATTTGTTTGAGTATGTTTTATTAGATACATTGTTCAAAAATATTTTGTAGTGTGTGAAGCATCTAAAGGTGTGCATGTTTTGAAAACTAATTGCTTATATAGCTGTTTGAAAATAGGACAAAATTCAGTAGTTGTGACCATCTCCTCTACCTCTAATACCTAAAATTGTATTATTAGGAAGTGAATCCCAGTGCGTGACCACTGTGGAAATCTTTAACTGTCTTGTGTAAAGCAGTGTAAACTGTGGAATTTACTGGAGTTTTCAATTAAAGAGGATAAATGCTTGCTGTCATTTGATTATACATAGCCATAAACCCTGTGCTTTGTTTTTTGGCATGTGAGGTGGAGACTACCTTTTCCTCCCCTTACTCAAAATGTCTTTGTGCCTTGCACACTTAATTCAAGTGACTGAAGTACCTAGCTGGATGGTAGAGGTGAAAGCATTTGAGGTCTGAACAGCCTGTGCCACTGATGAGAGCTATTTCAATGAAGCAACAGCGCAACTAACCTGATTGTTTCTTTTTGACATTGGATCTCAGCAGTTCATCTGGTGTTATTTTTATGGTTTGCTGCAAGTCCCGCAGTGTGTTTCTGGGCTCTAACATAACATTCGGTCATCTATTGCAGTTAGACCAGACCACTGCTATGCGTTGCTCTCCTCTCCACTGGTCTACTATGCCCTTAGCTACTAGTTATCATGCAGAATGGGTAGAAAGGGATTTCTGTACCTTTGTGAAGAATCCTAATAAATTCCTGTAGATCTGAAAGATCTCCTCTAAGCTGGAAGATTAAGGTGCCAGTTTGGCTGAGGCAGCATTTGTCATGGTCATGAGGCAAGCGTCTGGGAAGAGATACATCATCTGAGATTTCCAGAGCTTATCTCTTGGTGCAGACTGATTCATGTTATAGTTGTCCTTCTGCTTAAGAGACAGAAAAGAGTATCAGTATCTGAAGAAGCAGTGCACGTAAAGATTTCTACTTCAACAGTTTTAGTTAAGACTTCTTTTCCAAGTGTGCCTATTTGGGGCCAAATCGCCCTGGCATGTATAGCTGCCAGATAACGTGTACTTTATGCAGTCATGTCTTCCATCTTGAATCCAGTTGTCACTACTCTGCTTTGAAAGGTGTCACTAGCTTAGTAGGCTCATGTTATTTTTGTGCAGCTCACCTGATGGATAGTTGGTATAAAAGCACACAGTGGTAATGCTGCAGTACGTTTGAGACTGTTTTGTTTGGGATACTAGAATGTGAAGTGAAACTAACTAACTTTTCTTTTTCTGTAGGTGATGGTACAATGTTGTTGGCAGCCAGTAAGGTCTTTGATAAATCTAAACCAGTTATTGGAGTAAATACTGATCCTGAAAGGTAAAAACAAATTTGGGATAGCAGTGCTTCATTTAATATCAGGAACAATATGCATCTGTTTTCATGATGCATGAGGCATGCCTGTAGCCTTTGGCAGCATAAATTTCTGGTTTAGTGGATTGTAGATGTCAAGTGAAGCTACAGTTTAGTTAGAAGAGTTTCCATATTGAGTTACCATGTCTCATCTGAGAGGACATTAAGTAGTATTGGATAATGGCATTTAGTTGTCCTATTATAAACTCCACACAAGTTGTGTCCCCCTAGTAATAAGGTCAATTTGGGCAGGTAGATGCAGATCATTATTACTACCTAGTAGGTGTAACCTTCAAATGAATGACAAAAAAACCTCAATATTCACCAATGCTCTATCTGCTGAGATTTCCAGACTTAAGTTTCTGCTTTTGGTATTACCAGTTTATTTAATCTTAGTAGGTAAGAACGTAGTGACAAAAATCTTTAATTCCTCCCATACTTTACTCCTCTTCTAAAACTTTTCAAATGCTGTGACTAGATATTCTACAGTATCAAGCCTGAATAGCAGGATTCACATAACGAGTGCCTTCAGGTTATCAAATATCACTCATGAAAGGGGAGCAGTGTTTAGTCTTCTGGCTTTGACATGAGATTCTTTTGATTTTAATAATGTTGCTTACCTATCTTCTATCACTAGCTTGTGAGTCTATAAAGGAGATTCACTTTCTAAGTTGCAAGGTTTATTACGCTTGAATTCCTTGCCTAAACTATATTAGGAGCTATATTAGTACCTGCATATTCCATGATTACTAGCTGAACAATCATTTTTTAGGTAAAATGTGGGAGAAATATCCTATGTCTCACACATACACCCCACGAGCTGGAAGATGTATATTGTTGTTGATGTACTATAAGGTAAGAATAGTATAGATATATAAAGGTCAAAGTGTAGCTTTGTGTCACAGCTTCACGTAGCAGAAGGAGGTGTTTGGTTGGGTTCTTTTATGTTTTAGTTTGTCTTTCTTGATTTGTTTTTTAAAGGTACCAAAACTTAATACTTACACTGTCATTTTTATTGTCCTTTTTTGCTACCAGATCGGAGGGTCACTTATGCTTGCCTGTGAGATACACGCACTCGTTTCCTGAAGCACTACAGAAGCTTTACCGTGGTGAGTTCAGGTAGGACTCCCTGATCTTTGGCTTTCCAAAACGTATTATTGTTGGAAAATACTTAATGATATGCAATTCCTAAGAAGCAGACAATGCTTAGTAAAATCTTAATGCCTCAATTCATGAATTCTGGGTAGATGTTTACCACATGGAAAAATAGGTTTATGGTCAAGAGTGAGTTTGGAATACAAAGAATGAAATTGACTGCCAGTTTCTGCAAAAAGGCTTTTGTTTTGACCTCCAGTAACTGATTTTTTTCTTCTAACTTAACAAATTCATACATGAAGAACTGCAATCTTGTAAAGGGTGTATTGGTGTACATATTTAAACACTCAAAAGCATATGTGGTACAGTAACGGGCCATACTAATAGAAGCTAGTGAAGCCTATACAGTTAGGAAACGGTCAGTGTGTTGCACCTGTGACTTTGGTAATTAGAGTGGCCTAAATTTTGTTAACAGATTAGCATAAGGCATAGCTTTTCTTTCTGCTGAAGAAAGCGTGATGGTTTCAGTGCTAGATATTCTTAAAAAAGCAGTATCTCACTTGAATTAAGAAGGAGGCAAGCTGAATTTTAAAAGACAGACTAGGGAATTGGATTTTAATAACTTTTTTTGAAAAAGAGACACTGTTCTGTGTTGTATTAACATTCCAGAAGGGGATGGCAAATGATCAACCAGATCCAAGTCATTTACATGAAAATATATTGCAGTTTGGTTTTGTTTGTACCTATCTTGTATTTAGGTTGTAGCTTGAAGTGTCACTGGTTGTGTGCCATATAGAAGTTCTGAAATGAGGTGAATAGAGTCTTCAGATTTGATTATAAAAAATTGAAGGGGTTTCAGTAGGTATTACTAAATGAAAAGGTACTTTCAACTCACATATTCTGAGACAGAAGCTTTTAGCTCTCCACTATGCCAAGTTGCTGAGGTAAAGCTGGTAGAACTGATGGAGGTAATGTCCCTTGATAATATTTAAGCTTTAAAATGGGTAGGTAAGTGGATCAGCCTGTTTGGAAAAACTGCTGGTGGCTCAGAGCTGCTTAAGGACAATTAGGTGCCAGAGACTGGAAAATGGGGATTTGATTGTCTTTTATCCTTATCACTGAAGTGTCAGTCAGTGCAACAATCTAAGCCTTATAGTCCCATGAAACAACCACCGTTACTGATTTATAAAGGACAAACTATACCAGATTGCACGTGATGGGTTTTTTTGATGGTCAGTGGTGTAACAGGATCTCAGAATAGGTGTACAGCTCCATGTTCTAATTTTGTGGGAGTTTTGACATGTGCTAGCATGAGTTTTGTAAGGAGGCTAGCATAATGACACTCATTGCATGCTGTCTGCCTGACTGCCTAAAACCATACTTGGAATTCAGTGGCAGATGGGTTTTGAATGAGGTTTTATAGGGATGACAACAAGGCAAAACTAGTAATGTAGTGATATAAAGCATAAGCCTTGCTGTAATTTCAGGAAATATGTAAGATGGTTGCTGTCATCCAAACATCAACAGTATGAACTGGGAAAAAATATGTTTATAACAATCCCTTGTGATTTGCTTTCTTAATCAAAACTATTCTAAATTGTAAGAGGAAAAAAAATTGATACCTCCTCTAGGCAAAACCAAAAAATCTGAATTTTGTAACAGCATGAGGAAGAATGCCTTTTCTATCCTTCTCTTTCTTCGTTTGATTTCCTCTTAAGCATCCTAATTCCTAGGCTAAGAGGTATTTTTAAAATGAGAGGATATTTGTGGCCTTCGTATATAAAGAGGTGCATAGAGCTGCTTTTCTGGATATCTACAAATGTAAGCAAAACATGGTAAAAATACAGCATATATTGCTGTATAAATTCCCAAGAGTTTATTGTTCTCAAAATCATTGCATCAGTCATGAATTCATAAGGTAGGATCACATGCCTAAAAAAATGTGTTATCTGTAATGTTTGTAGACTACTTTTGGCCTGTGTCCTCTTACTTTACACACTTAAAACCACAATATAGCAAATTGGTAAGTGTCATAAATTTATATTTTAGTATTATTAACTCTCTGAAGTTAGAAATTTTAGTGAAAGCTATAAAACTTGAAATGTGACTTGGAATATATTTAACTGTTAGTCTAAAGATGCTCTAGTTTGATACTGAAGACTTTCTGATCGTATCTAATTTGGTAATGAATATTCCAGCTACTTATACCAATTTCTTTTTCCTCTCTAAGGTGGCAGTGGCGGCAAAGAATCCGACTGTATCTTGAAGGAACTGGTATTAACCCAATCCCTGTAGATTTACATGAACAGCAGCTAAGCCAAGAGCAACACAGCAGGGCTCACATAAATGAAAGATTTCAGGATCAAAGTAGGTTAAAATTTGACAAGAATATAATCACCTTGATATGATAACTTGGAATAGCAGATAAAGATTTGTAAGAGCTGAAGTGTTTGAAGTCTGTTCACCATATTTGAGAGGCAGGGAGAGACAGCTCTCATTAGCTAAAGACCCAGATTACAGTTTTTAGAATGGAGTATTTTTTGTTTCTGTATGTTTACTCTGGACATACACTTAGAACCAGTTTTCAGTATTAACATTTCTTTAGTAATGTGTTTAAATAGTGTTACCTGCTGGCAAAATACTGCTTTTTAAAAATGCTGTCTCTAAAGGTTACTATAGACACTTGGGGTTACCGCATGAACCCTGCGTTTAGCCGCTCCATAGTAAAAGCATGTATATGTGAGTGCATGTGCTCTTAGCTTGTGCTAAATTTGAGGTGGGTTACTTCACAATGGAAAAAGACTGCCAGCAAGCAAATGAGAAATTAGAAATGAGAAAATCTCCCTGGGCAATTCTTTGATCATCAGACACCTTTGACTGTTCTCTTTGTGATGGATGCATGATTCTATCCTTAACCTGTGTCTAGCACTGTATTTCCTCACTGAGGGGTCCTTGGTCAACTTGCATGATTTGTTAATCCCCCTTAATTACCCTATGGTATAAAGTTCTTTGAACTTTATCAGAAATGTTTGTTAAGTCACTGTCAGTGAGTTTAACTAGGCTGGAAGAGTGACTGACAGAAGATAAGGCTTCAGTCTGTCTCGTTGCCCATGAGATTTCAGGGAAAACAATGTCTGAACATAAGTGTCATTGCCTTATGGACCTTGGTTCAAATATTTGTACTCTCCAGTAAAGGACAGTGACTGAGCACAGACTAAATCAGTGAAAAATTGAGTCCTTGAAAATGGACCACTAAGTCTAGAATACAAAACCAGGCAGCAGAGTATGTCCTTCAGTAAGCTTTGTATTGTTTTTGAAAATCTATTTTATAGAGCCATGATTCAAAACCATTATTTTCAATATCTGCAGGATCTGACATCTCTGGTCCACATCTTTTACCAGTGAGAGCACTGAATGAAGTCTTCATTGGAGAATCTCTTTCATCCAGGTATGTTCAATGTTGTTGCAGCAGGGCACGGCTCACGTAATTTCTTTTTACGGTGTTACAATGGGCAATCAGTGATGGGATGTCTTTGCTGTGAAACTTCCGTTCTAATCTGTGAATATGTAACACTGAACGTATAGTTGCTGATTACAAAGTGTAATTTCAGAGATGTAAGTGCAGTGATGTTACTTGCTCATTTTCCACCTTCCTGTCTAGCCATTCTTTTGTCTCTTATTATTCTTCACTGGTTTTTTTCCTCTTCATGGTTTTACTCCTTTCCTGGTTAGTTCTTATGTAACCAAATGCCTTCAGTTACTGTCTTTACACTGAACTGAAGATTTAAATATCTGTACTTAAATTGCCTCCTCTCCTGCATCCCTTCTAAATAGATTTTCATAAGCTTTTAAGCATGACCAAGCAGAAATAGCTTTGAGCATGACCAAGCAGAAATAGCTTTTAGCATGACCAACTACTCCTTTCCCTGTCACTCTGTGATTAGAGGCAAAGGTATCAGCCTGCCTTTGGCAGAAACTTCGTTATTGTGGGAGAACACTTACTTCCTTGTTTTAACAAATGACTTTATATCAAATCCTGGTAATGCATAATAATGCAGGATACCTTTTTGATTGTCCTTTCTGTCCAGAAGATGAATGCATTTCTGCCAGCCAAATGACAACAAGGGTGTGGGGAATGTGATTTGGTCTGCGGGAAAGCAGTTAAAACATGACCTTTGTTGAGGATTTGGCCAAACTTTTATTTATGTCCTTTTTCGCTTTATTCTGTATATATTTTATTTTTTGGTTTTTTGTTTTCTTGAACTTTAGAGTGTAACATCTTCTTGTGTTTGCATAGTGCCTGGGACACTGTGATTGCTGCTGGAAACAGTATAAATGTTCCATGAGTGCTTTATCTTCCATCTGGACTGCAGCCTCAGACTGACAGAAGGAATTAGTCTCAAAGAGATACAAATTTTGCTCTCCACTAAATCAAGCCTAATTTTATCAAGATTCTAAAAAGTTTCTTTAACATACAATGATAAAGGAACCCAAAGCTGCTTTCCAACACTTTGCAATAGCCCTCTAACTTCTGAGTGTCACAAATACATTGTGCTCTTTGATTTCAGTATCTCTGAGAAGCACTGAGGAGCACAATGCCTGTCGGAACAAATCTCTAGTAATAAATGTTGTGTAAATAGGACCTTACACTGGAAGACTTAAATAATCATTTCAGAGAGAGGAATCTTCTGTAAGGTTCAAATATACAAGTCTGCTGTATATTAAGACAAAATTACTCTAGGTGCTTCTTTCAAGTTCTTATTCTGCATATCAGTTAAGAAAATGGAAGGAAAAATATAGAAAATGCACCTTTCATACCCAGCTTGCAAAAATTATCTTAAACTGAACCAAGCTGTGCAGCTCCTGTAATTTGCTTACAGTTCTTTAATAGTCACATTTTCTCAAGAGTGAGTACACGTAATTCCTGTAGTTAACTAAGTCTAAACTGTTTGACACCAGATATTCAAGAGGTGTATTCTTAGTCAATTCAGACTGAAACATTCATCACCTAAACCAGCTCAGTAAGCTCCCTTTACTAAGAAAGATGAAGTTCAGTCATGCTGAACACAGTGGGTGTTGTTTTTCTAGAGGTTATCTGTTAATCTGAAGACTATATCGTACTGTTTGAATCACTTAGTTATGCACCCCTGGATGTTTTGAAACTTACAGAGAGAAACTGTCTATTCTCTATAGGCTTAACATTAGGAATCCCCTGATATATGAATAATACCAGGCAAAATGATGATTGTGCCCCAAGACTTACTACACTTGAATTTTAGGAAGAAGTTACCATGGAGAGAAATGTAAGCCTTCTAACTGTTGTAAAACTAAAACTGTTCGTGAAGAATCACAGTGGATTTTAGTTACTGAAGTGATCAAGACTTCAGCTTGAAGCCATGCTATTACTTACTGACGTTGGAGAGCCTTACTCCTTAGTGTTCCCTGATGTAGTTTTTATGAGACCCAAACACAGCATTAAATACAGTTTTGCAGTAGTTCAACAATTATGCAAGGAAGGTAATGTATTTGTAGTTTCATTTGTAAATCCAGCAAACCTGGCTTCTGTACAAAGCTATTCCCAGATGAACCACCAGAGTTCCTTGTGTGTAATTTAATACAAAAAGTGGCTGCAGAAAAGCTGCTTACAAATTCGTGCTGTAAATCACTTTTATCCATTACAAAAACTGCTACAAAACAGTGAATCAAAAGTGGCTGCCAGAGCTGTTCAAAGCCTGTGAAATTGTCATCCAGATTTGAAACTAGCCCCTCCAAGTTTTTATGTACCTGATAAGGCTGTGTGTTCTGTCTTATTCAGGGAGAACTTTAAGTCCTGCAAACCCAGTTTTAAATTCTCGCTTCATAGGGCCTCCTATTATGAAATATCAGTTGATGATGGTCCTTGGGAAAAACAGAAGAGTTCAGGGCTTAATGTGTGTACCGGAACAGGATCAAAAGCATGGTAAGTACATGTTGCTGCTTTGATATAAAATATCACTTTGGATAAGCCGGATGGATCTATTTTGCTTAAATGTTATGCCCATACTGAGACTCCCTTGAGCAATGGGTAAGTCAGTGCATGTCAGTTATGTCAAAACGATAACACTTGATATAGTTCAGAGCTTGAGCACCACTCACTTGTAGGTACGGAGAGCACAGTTGAAAGGGCAAGGAGCTGAGGCACTGAGAACTTGAGTGTAATTTTGGTCACAGATGTTTAATGCCACATATGGAGATGAATAGTTGGGGGTGGAGAGGGAAGGAGATTCTGCTCTGAACTGCAGAGCATATTCAAGGAATCTCTGAGCTACTCTTGTTGGCTAAAATGCTTAGATGAAGTAGCTCAGAAAACTTAAAAAATCTAAGCTCTAGTAAGAATGGGAGAACATGCACTTGGAGAGGTTAAGTGTTCTCGGGCACATTCTCTTTCCAAGCCTCTTGCTTCTTTCAGACTTAATTGAAGGTGCACAGTCTCTTTGCCAAAATACTGCCCTTACACAAAGATGGGCATATCTAAGCAGAGCTGTGCTAGATTAATCAAAGAGGTAAATTGTCTTCAGTTTAAACAAGCTGCAGTACTGCGTACAAGTCTAATCAATTTAGTTTTGAGATGTGACAGACGTGTTGCAGTGAGAACTCTTTTGGAAATCTGGTTGTGCTTGTATTTGAAAGTTGTACAACAGAGCCTGAATTTATTTAGCAGGCTAAGACGGACTAAAACTGAAGCTTTTAATGAAATTCAGAAGTGAATATTCATGCTGTAACCATAGTTACGGGATTTTACTCTTCATTGTAATTCAGAATTCTGTATTCAGTCAGCATAACTTAGTTCTAGAAGCTGCCAAGGATAAAATTGGCAGACTTCTACAGGAACTTTCCTAGTGTTCTGTACCTTGGGAATGTACAGTCTTGGTTCAAAGCTGTTCTTATGCCTTTCATTTGTTTACACACCCTGTAATGAGCAATGCCAGCGGCATGGACAAAACTCTGCCGTTGCCCATCTCTGTGGCTGTAATCAGTGTGTACTGCTGGACTTCTCTAAACTGAGGCCAAGCCTCAGTGGAGTGATCTTTCTTAGCCTGTGGTGTAGGGGTTGTCCTGTTCAGACCACTTCAGACTGAGAGGCATTTAAATGTCCAACTGCTTCCTTCGACTGCCAAAACTTGCATAAGAAGGATATCTAGCTGGGAGAGAGAACAATTTCAAACTGTGCATCTCAGTTTCTTGCTAGTATCTGCTCAGGCTGGCAGGTGGGCAGGAAGTATAAGAGCAGGAGCCTTGGACAACCACGCTCAGCAGCTCTGTAGCCTGTTAAATGTATAGTGGATGTCTGTTGGAGTCTGAGGTGTTTTACTGCCATGACACAAGTGCTGAAATGAGGATTTTAAGCTATACTGAGATCTGGGCAACTGAGATGTTCACAGTACTGCTGCACAGAGGCTGTGATGAGTACGTGATGTCTTTTTGAGCCTGGGCACAGGAGGGAGACTTACACTGGAGTTCAGACTTGGGTCAGAACAGTGCTTTATGCTGACTCATTGTGCATCCCAGCGTGACAAATGCAAAGTGTCCAATTTGACTGTTCCTTTCCTGTGTACACTGATTCCAGTGGGATTCAAGCCCACATCTTAGGCTATGGACAAACAGGCACAATATTTGTGAAGAATTATTGTGTCTCATAAGTGAGAACTAACAGGAGAAATTAATTATCAAGAGGTGTGTAGAAGGAATGAAGCAGCTTCAGTGTTTGTTAATGCAGACTTAAATCCGCAATTACTGGGGTTTTAAGACAGGATGATTATTCTAATAAGGTGACTACATCCTGTGTACCATCCTCTTCTTTCTTGAAGACTTCACTTAATGGATTAAGCTTTACAAAGCCACAGGTAGATGTCAAGCCAAGAATTAATTTAAGGCTTTTTTTTAAGAAACTGGATGTCAGCTCACACTTAATAGCATTCCTTATTTTTTTTCTCTCTGATAGTGAACATAGTTCTTCATCTGTATGCAAGATTTTTGTTCTGTTTTTATTTTGTTTTTCTCTCAAGTTGTATTGCTTAGCAAACAAAACTTCTGCTTCTCTCTCTAGGTCCTATAATATTAACAAGGTAGCACATCAAGCTGTTGAAGAGATCCTCAAGATCGGTGAGTGAACACTGTGGCATTACTAGCCAAATTTGCATAAAGATACACCTTTCTAATTGGGGATCTTTCTCTTGGCTCAACAGCTAAAAAGCATGGAAGTTGGAATATGCCATTGAACACCGAAATAGTACAAAAAGGTTAGTGAGAAAGGCAAGATTTCTTGAAGGTATCTTAACCTTCACCAGATCGTTTTGTTTGTCCCTTTTATACTCATCATCGCTTTCAGACTTCTAGTGCTCTTGTAATATTAGTCCTGCTTATGAACTTCATTTAGGCACATTTAGTGAAAAATGTCTGTCTTCTGGCTTTAGTATGTGTAGATCTTCAGGAGAATTTCAGTTCTCCTAAGGTTTGAGACACTTAATATTAAATCACCTGAAAAGAGTTGTTTTTTGTCATGCAATGGAACTAAAAGGAGTCTTCTGTAAAATTAATTTTTTTGCAGGTGAAGGCTATTAAACATCTGACAAGATTCAGTATTAGGGAATGTATGTTTCTGAGAACAACTTATTTTCTTTGGAAGAACTAATGGCTGATTTCTTTATTTACAGTAACAAATGATTACAATGAGTCCCTGCTTTACAGTCCAGAAGAGCCAAGGATGTTTTTCAGTGTTCGAGAACCTATTGTCAACAGAGTTTTCTCAAGTAGCCGGCAACGTGGCTTCTCTTCAAAGTAAGTGTTGGCTGTGGCAGTCACTGAAGAGTTACTTCATTCTATGTATGAGTTATCCAGGAGTTTCCCTTGAAGTATTCCAGCATCCAGTTTGTGTTTTGAGGGGCTTGAGTACTGTTCTCCTAACAACAGGAGGAACATGGTTCCACGTCGTTCCCTCATTATGAGACACAGGCATTGACAAACTGGAGTGAATTCAGGAAAGGGCTATTGAGATGATTAGGGGGCCAAAACACATGGTGTGTAAAGGAGAGGCTCAAACTGTGCTTTTGTTTAGCCTGGAGGAGACAGGACTGAGGGTGGATCCAGTTCCTGTCTTCAGCTACCGATGGATGGTTACAGAGGAGACTGAGTCAAACTCTTTTCAGAGCAAAATATGAGGCAACAGCCATGATTTAATAGGATGCAAGATTCTGATAAAAAAAAGGATATTTTTTTCACAATGAGAATGGTCAGGCAGCAGGTTCCCAGTGATTGTGCTGTTACTGTGTTGGACATACTCCAGACTTGACAGGGCAAGGGCCTATGCAACTTAGTCTCTCTCTGAAGTGAGGCCTGCTTTTAGTGGAAGATTGGAGTAGATGCCTTTCCAAACTAAATTATTTGGTAATTCAGTAATTTTAACTTCGGGCACTTGTACCAGTGGAGGTGTAGATTAGATATTAGGAAAATTAATTCACAAAAGGAGGTATCAAGCACTGGAATCAGCTGCCCAGGAAAGTGGTAGAGTCACCATCCCTGAAGGTATTTAAAAGATGTGTAGATGTGGTGCTTAGGGACATGGTTTTGTGGTGGACCCGGCATTGTCACATTAAAGGTTGGGCTCGATGATCATAAAGGTCTTTTCCAACCTAAACCATTCTATCCTTCTGTGGTTTTTCTGGAGCTTGCCACAATTAAATATAAACACATGCAACTGTTAGTAGTATGTTCAGAACAGCTCTGTTAAGAATAATGCAATACTTTTGTATTAATTAAATGTTAATTTAACCTTTTATATCAGAACAAATGTCTAAAGGAGCTCTGACTTGAAGGAGACTCAAATTCTGCTCCTTTTGAGCTGCATCAGTGCTAAAACAGTTTATGATCTAGTAATAAAGGACATCTCTGGCTACTGGGATTGAATATTACCGTATTAAATGCCCACTGTGTATGTGTCATATCTTTAAATGTTTACTGCTTCTTAGTGATTTGGATCTGGAAGTTCTAAAGAGTGAGTAACTTTTAAGAGATGGTAAGAGGAAAGGCGTTCAGTCCTCTCCGAACCCTTTGGATTCTAGTCCTTAGTACCATGCTAAATTCTTAAGCATGCTCCCATATGATGAAGCATTTCCTGACCCCCACACAGGAACGTCCAAGAATTCGTCTTATTGTTCAGATAAGTGCTTATGTGAAGTACTTAAGTTTTTAAAGCTATTTTGTAAAAACTTGTTTTTTTTGGTTTTTGCAGAGTTTGTGTCCGATCCCGTTGTTGGGATGCATGTATGGTTATAGATGGAGGAACATCTTTTGAGTTCAATGATGGGGCGATAGCTTCAATAATGATTGATACAGAGGATGCACTGTGCACTGTTCTGCTGGAAGAATGAAGGACCCTAGTGTCTTCTGCTGAAACTATTCTGGATCCAGAGGGGGAACTCCTAGAGATAGACAGCACATCACAATGCTGCACTGTGCTGGAAGTTCACCTTTTTGGATGCAAGAGCATTTGGAGGAAGCTTGAGATGCTTTTCATTCCTTTCGGTTGGGGATAACTTAGCTTGATATTTAAACTTTTTGTATCTGATGTAAAATAAATGTATCTGAAATCTTACCTCTAACTTCAGTGAAAATTGACATTTTAACCTGCAAGACAAACATGAAAGAGTATCTTTTTAAACACAGGAAGATATGTTCAAGTGTTAAGTGTGTAGCATTAAAAATTCAGATGTACAGTTTTTTAGTAACAGTCTGGGACTGATGAAACCGAACACCTTCATACATATAGTTTTGTAGAAAAGTTGACTGTCAATCTAGCAATTTGATGCAAGGATATATAGATTTTAGTAAATCCTCATGTTGATGTAATAAAAATGGAAATACAAACCTTTTGTATACTTTTCAAAAATTTTACAACTTTGTAGTTTCATACAACTTGTGACAATTTTTTTGTTCTTTCAGTATTTTTTCTACTTTGTAGATTTACATCAAAAGGAAATCTGGTTTAATCACATCTTGAATGAGGTAGCTCTTACCTTTTCTCTTAGGCTAGAGAGGGACTTGAAATCCAAGGGTTTTCTTGAGCCCATTATACAGACTATAGGAAACATTGAAGTAAGATATACTCCTTCACGGAATGGATTAGCTGGCTAGCAGTGTTCAGTCACATGTAGGTGGCCATCATTACAAAAGATAGTTGGTCTTATTAAGTTGAATGGTTTGGAATTTTAGGTTCTGAGTTTCCTTAGAGTTGAAGAAGAATGAGATGTGCTGGGTAGTAGTAGTTAGAGCACAGGTTAATACCTGTATCTCTCCCCTTGTTCCAAGTATTTGTTTTTAACTTCACCAGAAAGTTTAAATTTCCAGTCTCATGCTGAATTCTACTAATATTTAATTGGCAGCAAATTAATTTTAAAGTTTTGTGCCTCTGATCATGTGTAAGGTAAGCAAGTTGATAGGAGGAAAAAACCTCTCATTATAGAGGAGAAAGTGACATTTTAGATAATAATGTTTTAGAGAAACTGTGAACTATTGACTACCTTTGAAAGTCTGTGCTGATAATTTCACAGATGAGGGGACAGAATTTGACAAAATGAAGATTTCCTACAGCAGGAACTCTTCTGCTCCATGACTTGAAACAAATGTGTTTTGTCCTGCCTACTACGGATGTATTTCCAAAAGTTAGTTTTCTTCAAACTGCTTTTGAATGAAGAGACTTCTGTAACAGAGGTTCTGAGGTCTAATGGAAATGTCTCTAGTGTGGCCGATTAGTGTATTTATTGCCAATCACAAAATGTAAACTAGTCTTCACAGGTGTAGGAAGTGGATATATGATTTTTTCCTTCTACTACTTCAGTGGAAACCAGAATTTAGAGGAAACTGATCTGACCAGACCATTCACTTCTAGGAAAATGTGATACTGGTGGAGCTTTTTGAATAAGCTATCACTGTTGATGTATATTTCACCTTTTAAGTGTGCTGCAGAATGAATTATTTACACTATCTGCTTAAGTTAGCAGAATTGCAGACCAGAAGGGGAAAATCAAAGTAGCCAAATACTCTCAAAACTTCCTATGTTCAGGAACTGTCATCACAAAGCTTTTTAATTCTAAGATAATGTGAAAAACTGGTCTAAAGGTAAAGATGCAGAAGACTAATCTTTCTTTAGAAAGACTGCTGCACAGAGACTAGAGTGTTGTAGTTATTTCTAATCCATCTGTAACCATTTAAGGATGGTTTATGTGCCTCGGTCTAGTACACTAGTCAATATTCTATTAAGATTCAAAAAACAAAACCACCCACCAATGCCATTAACACTAATTTTTTACTTTCTGGGACTACTCCATTGTGTTAGGTCAGAGGTTTAGGTATTGAAAGTGTCCTTGAAGAGCTGCATAGACCCTACCGTGTCCCCTACTTCAAATTTAGCGACATTTGTGTGCTGTAATGTTTTAATGGAGACAGATTAGTCTAATCAGGGTGTATACCTCTTAAGTATGCCTGTCATTCCTTATTACGAATGCTGAGACTAAAAGACAATGTTTTTAAGCCCTACAGATATTACGAATGCTGAGACTAAAAGACAATGTTTTTAAGCCCTACAGATCCAAAGTATGTTCTGGTTTAGGGCTTACTAAGAGATTTCAGTCAAATTCCTAACTTCCTTAGCAAAATGGAAACCTGACCTACTCATGAGTGGCCTCTACTGGTTTTGTCTGTTTTTAATTGCACTTCTGTTGAAGCATTTACTGGTGAATGCTTAAATAACTAGGATGATTCAGAGATCTATAATAGATAAACACTAAGCAGCTACCTTTTTTATTAAAGAATTGTAGAATCTTTTTTAAGGATCCTTTATTACAAAGGATTGCAGTACAGACAACTTACCTGGTAGACAGTATTCAGTGACATGACTGAGTATTGGTTTAACACTGATTTAATCTGCCTGGACTGGCAGTGAACTCTGCAACTCATCTACGTGCTGAATGAAGCTCATGTTTTTTATCATTTTTGCCAGTCCACACTGTGTTCTGCTAAACTAGACCTGTCATTCTTTGTTGTTGTTTTTTTAAAGTGGTGTTTATACATTATGTAATAAAAATGAAAAACTGAATAGATACATGAAGCTGTCCTGTGACTTATTTCAGCCTTAAAATGTGTTTCATGTGCTCAGTGTCTACTCACTGTGCAGCTTATTTAAATAATGATTTCTAAGCCTTCGAGCTTTAGGTAAAACGCAGAGACTTCTCTATGTAGCCATTTTTTGCGTGGATTGCTTGGAGCTACCAAGGAACTTTTTTTCAGTTAAGAAAAGATCAGTGGTGCACCTTACCTAGAAGACCTTCTGTTATGTGTTTGTTACAGCTGTCATCATCGTGGCCAGTAGACCTGCAATAGAAAAGTTTGTCCTCATCCAACACTGAAGCTGGTTTTTAAAAACCCCCACAATTTCAGAACTGTTCCTTATAGTTAAAAGTTGTACTGCTATCCCAGTTATGTACAGGGGTTTAAATGCTAAATGTGTGGATGACAACACCCCGTCCTCTAAACTACCGTTGTTTACACATTGCTTGGGCAAGTTTCTTTTTTTCAAACCTGTGACACAAAGTTGGCTGCAAGGCAGGGAAAGTTTCTCCATCCATCAGTCATTTTGTGCAATACAGCTGTTCTGTAGTTCTTTATTAAATGCAAGACAAGTTCTATGTGGTTACATTGTGCACAGGGAGAAGAAGAGTTTGCAGTAGTGCTGTGCTGCAAAGATCTACTTTTTTAAACCTAAGGCTGCAAAGTGAAACAGCGGACTATCCAGTATCTTTCAACCTCCCATTATTTCTCCTCTCCAGCTTTCACAAGATACATTTCCCATTAACTCCATTCTAAGAGGCACAAGCCCATTAGTGACTCAGGTGTTACTTATGCTCTTAATAAAAAACAAAAGAACTTAGAAGAGATGAATAAGATAATGCTGTGTTTCCTATATTATAGAAAGTCAAGTTAAATATTGAATTCTAGTATTCGTACAGTCTTCCCATTGTATTAATCTGTTCTGTACTACCAAGTATTTATTCCTGAATTTTCTTCAGATTGAGATGGGAAACCACACCCTAACCTTAGATATGCATGAATAAATTCATTATCTCCTTGCTTACTGCATTCATAGGAACAGTAACAGTATATTTATGCCCCCCACAGGGTTTCTGCCCTAGGACTTCTCAACTGATGTTTTTAATCTATTGGGGCATTACAGACTTAAGCACCAGGACCTTGATAATAGACCCAGATGAGTTTTAAATATTTTTGGGGGTTTTTGTGGGCTTTGTTTTCTGTGTTCAGGTTATTTTTTTGTTTGTTTTTTTAAGTGGAAGTTACTCATCTCTTTCTATGACTTCAAAAAAACCCAACACTGGATAGAAGTGGATAGTGTTACAAGAAGTGAAATGCTACTACAACCATAAGCTATTATAGAAAAGAAATTGATGTCTCTTAATAGCACCAAAGCATCTCTTCCTTTCAGTCCACAACATCCTTCTGCCTAAGTTGGAGACATACAGATTTGATGAGTGGACTGTTCAGTGAAAAAGGAATTAGTTGGATGGCCACATCCAGAGAGTAGTGGTCAATGGCCCAATGTCCAGATGGAGAGGGGTGACAAGTAGCGTCCCTTAGGGGTCTGCACTGGGACCAGTGCTGTTTAGTATCTTCATCAATGATACAGACAGTCATATTGAGTGCACCCTCAGCAAGTTTGCATGTCACCAAGCTGAGTGGGGCAGTCGATATGCCAGAGGGGTGGGATGTCCTCCAGAGAGACCTGGAGAAGTGGGCCTCTGTGAACTTCACAAGGTTCAACAAGACCAAGTGCAAGGTCCTCACTACAAGAGGCCCCTCACTACAAGGACACTGAGGCACTAGACAGTGTCCAGAGAAGGGGAACAAAGCTGGTGAAGGTTGTCGGGCACAAGTCTTAGGAGGAGTGGCTGAGGAGAGACTCTATTGCTCTTTACAACTACCTGAAAGAAGGTGGTAGCAAGGTGTGGATTGGTCTGTTCAACCAAGTAACAAGTGATAGGCCAAGAAGAAGTAGCCAAATTGGGGCTGTTTAGCCTGGAGAAAAGGAGGCTGAGGCATCTTATCGCTCTCTACAACTACCTGAAAGGAGGTTATAGTGAGGTGGGGGTTGGTCTCTTCTCCCAAGTAACAAATGATAAGACAAGAGGAAATGGTCTCAAAGTTGCACCAAGGGAGGTTTAGATTGGATATGAGGACAAATGTCTTTACTGAAAGGGTTATTAGCCACTGGTTATCACTACCCAGGGTAGTGGTGGAGTCCCCTTCCCTGGAGCTGTTTAGGAGTTCTGTGGACATAGTGCTTAGGGATATGGTTTAGTCACAGACATGTCAGTGTTAGGTTAATGGTTGGACTCAATGATTTTAAAGGTCTTTTCCAATACGGGCAATTCTGTGATTCTGTCCTGCACCTGGGTTGTGGCAATTCTCATTAGCAATACAGCCTGGGAGATGAGATGACAGAGCAGCCCTGCAGAAAAGGACTTGGGGGTACTAGTGGATGAAAAGCTGGACATGAGCCAACAATGCATGCTTGCAGCCCAGAAAGCCAACTGCATCCCAGGCTGCATCAAAAGAAGCATGGCTAGCAGATCAAGAGAGGTGATTCTGCCCCTCTGCTCTGGTGAGACCTCACTTGGGGTACTGTATCCAGCTGTGGAGCCCTCAACACAAGAAGGACATGGGCCTGTTGGAGTGAGTCCAGAGAGGCCAAAAATATTGGAGGCCTGGAGCACCTCTCCCGTGAGGACAGGCTGAGAGAGTTGGGGCTGTTGAGCCTGGAGAAGGCTCTGAGGAGACCTTATAGCGGCCTTCCAGTACCTAAAGCGGACTACAAGAAAGATGGGGAGGACTGTTTACAAGGGTGTGTAGCAACAGTGGTTTTAAACTAGAGCAGGGTAGATTTAGACTAGGTACAAGGAAGAGGGTGGGGAAACAGTGGAAGAGGTTGCTCAGAGAGGTGGTGGAGATCCCATTCCTGGAGAGATTCAAGGTCAGGTTGGCAGAGGCTCTGAGCAACCTGATCTAGTTAAAGATCTCCCTGCTCACTGCAGGGAGTTGGACTAGATGACCTTTAAAGGTCCCTTCCAATCCAATGCATTCTGTGATTCTATGAATACAGCACTACAACACAGAACAATTGACAGCCAGCATCTACTTTTATAGATGCTTATTTTGAATGGGCTTTTCAGACTACATTTTGCTAACAGTGAAGAATACTAAAACTAGATCATACCTTTGCGGTCTGCTAAACTACTCTGCAGCTCCTTTATCTTGCTGCTTAACTTGCACAATATTGAACTGTCCACTAGCTGCTTTTGTGTAGACATCCTTTCCCTTTTTTACTGTTTTGACGTTTGGTGAATTCAGACTGTCCTCTGTCCTTCTCACAAACTGTGGGTAGCTTCTCATCTTACTGTACATCTTGTTTAATGAAGGATTAGAATAGGTTTAATACTATTACTCATTTCAAGTTCTGCAAACAGACAAAAAACCATTAATGAGCATTTTTAATCTAGCATCTCTCTAAGTTGTTTCAGGACTTGTAGAGCTGGAAGTTAGCCAAAAGCACCTTTAGGACACCTTGGAGCAACAAAATCTGCATCTGAAATTGCAGCTGCTGACAGTATTTAATTACAATGACTTCCAAAGGAATTTTGAAAACAGGTCCTCTGTAGAAAAAAAAGGCAAACAAAAAAACCCAATAAAAACAAACCCCAAAATTCTACAATTGCTCACAGATCATCAGATTTCCAAAGGTTCAACTAAAAAGAAATTGTAAAAGTATTTTTGAAGCTACTTAGAATGCTTTTTACAGAAACAGTACTATCATTAAAGCAGAACTCTGCTTTTTAAGGAGCTTCACTACACACAGTGTGTCCATCCCATCCTGTCATCCAGTGCATCATACATAATCATAAGCCACCAGAATCTCTCAGCGTCAATCTGCATCTGATGCCCCAAATCTCATGGTTCCTTTTACTGCCAACAGTTGGCCTTCCAATACTTGTAAAGTATGAGCAATTGATCTTCATGTTAGGAAGCGTTTCCTTGAGGAGCTGTAGGGAGGTATCAGTTACTATTCCAAATACCTGAAGAGTCTTTAATGTTGGAATTCCACCAAGTTCTCTAGAAAGAGAAAAACAGGAAATTAATAATGAACCTGAAAATATTTTTTTTCAGTCTATACCCAAACTAGGTAGCTGGGTTTCTACTATTTTTTAGAAATATGGTAACGACTTAAGCTAAATTCCCCTTCCTACTTTTAAAAAGCACATATTTTAATTAAAACTAGTTCTCTGTAGTGATAATTCAGGAAACTGGCTAAACAAATCCCTTCTTGCTGTTCTCTGTCTCACAGAGAGTAAAAAGAAACTGGTTCCTCTCCTTTAACTTCCCTGGACTTAAATATTTACAAGAAGTGGAAGAAATTGTCCCTAGATGAAGTTTCAGGATGTGGCTCAGAGGACACAAGCCCCTAAGTACTATCAGTTTCCAACTGTTACGACATTTTGGTGAGTACACAGCCCTGGCTTCTTGATCACTTTGGGTTTTCCCAGTCATGATATGAACTGTATAACTATAAGCATGTATTGGGCAAAATCAAAAGGCAGACTCTCTTGGTTTTAGCTAAAAACCCCAATTCTGTTTAGTGATTTTTACTTTTCAGTTCAGTCTCTTCTAAGAGGCTGCACTTCCTGAAGTCAGCAGCATGTTTTTGCAGACAGTGTGTGCTACTGGCAGTGATAACACCTGATGTTCACAGTTACTGCCTGGCACTGGGATGCAGAAAGGCTCTGGCTGATACTTATTCCTACAGTGACCAAGGCCACGGCTGGCTCTTGTGTGCCACGCCGGGGGTGCCGGGTAGTGAGAGGGGTCACAGGGAAGTAAAAGGTTGCACCTCCGGGGGGAAATAGACAGGACAGGTGACCAACGAGAGTATTCCATCCCATATACGTCATATTTAGTATAAATTGAGTGATCACGAGAATTTTGGCCCTTTCCCTTTTCCTTCCTCCTTCTTTGCCCTTTTTCTGCCATGGCCAGTGTCCAGGGAGGACTCCATCTGACCTCCTGCTTTTGATCCGGATCCTGAGTTCCTGAATCCAGCTCCCTGTATCCAGCTCCTGCTGCCGCTGAGCCTGGGGCTTCCCCAGTGCTGCCTGCTCTGCAGGGTCAGTGGGGATCGCTATCGGGGGAGGGAGTTGGGTTTGATATTTGGCTAATATATTTAGTTGTATATAGGTCTTTATTTTTATCATTTCACTATTTCACTATTATTTCCATTATTGTTTCATTAAAGCTGTTCTAGTTTTTCTTCTGTAATCCCTAAGTCTCTCTGCCTCATTCCCTTTCCCTTCCCGTTTTTTTGGGGGAAAGAGGGAGTTAGAGACTGTCTGTCCGTGTTTAGTGGCTGGCCTAGCCCTAACCCACGACATAGACACACACAAGCTATCATTATGACAGCACACACTGCTACAGAAAAAGTTCCTCAGCTTCTCATTTTGGTAGTCCTGTTCCTCTCACAAGCTTGTTCTTATTGTTGATCATTTCCTTAGGATTAACATCCTTCCCGAGAGGATTAAGTTAGATAGCTGCTACACTAATAAAAGGCAGAAAAAAAAATCCTCACATGCAAGGAACTAAGCTGTTTTTCAGTAGCAACTAGTAACTGACACAGGTGCACATAAAAGAATATAACTAGGTCAGCCAGTCAGCAAGTACTGGCAACTCTGAACTTTCCCAAAGGACTGTATCTTCCTTTTTGCATAACTAAAAGCCTAATACTGACACCAATACTGGTCATTGGCAGGACTGGAACCTCCAGCTGTTTCTCACAGCAATGAGTGGTATGATGCCATTAAAGGAAGACATGATGCACACACTGAGCAGCAAGTTCCATGACATCACGGAAAGATTCTCAGATACCTTTGTTTCCAGTCTGGACTCTAAAATGTACATGATCTAGCAGTCACATTATTTTATCTCAGTGCCTTATTTTTAATTCCTCATTCTAGGTAAGTTTTTCAAAATATTACTTGCAATTCTAAACATAGAATAAAACAAATTTAGGTGAACTTATCCCCTGTATTAATAACAAACACAAGCCATTTAGAGATTACTTACATTAAGGCAGCAGGTGATATCTGATAACATCGGCTTAGACACAGATGTTGTAGAGAATGGAGTCTATGAAAATACTGGAAGCACTCGGGCTTCAACATCACACTGTCACTGTACATGAGAGCATATGGAATAGAGGTTTAAGAAAAAAGCAGTAAACTTTCAAAAATTCAAAAAAAATTTCAAAAATTTCAAAAATTCAGGCTATGAAATTTAATAAATATCAACTTATTTTTCTACCACTGAAGTATTTTTGTCTCAATATGGAAGTAATCCATTTTTAATGCATGTGTTGTGGGGGAGGGACTTTGAAAGAAAGTTTTGGGAGAGGTCAATATGGATTCACCAAGGGAAAGTCATTTTTGACCCATCTGATGGCCTTCTGTGATGCCACAGCTGGCTGATTAGATGGAAGGAGAGCAGTGGATGTCATCTACCTTGCCTTCAGCAAGGCTTCTGACACTATCTCCCATAGCATCCTCTTCAGGAAACTCAGGAAGTGTGGGTTAGATGAGTGGACAGTGAGGTGGACTGAGAGCTGGCTGAGTGACAGAGCTCAGAGGGTTGTGATCAACAGAACAGGGTCGAGTTGGAGGCCTGTAGCCAGTGGTGTTCCCCAGGAGACAGTATTGGTTCTGGTCTTGTTGAACGTATTCATCAAGAACCTGTATGAGGGGACAGTGTATCCTCAGTGAGTTTGCTGATAATACAGAACTGGGAGGAGTGACTGACACACCAGAGGGCTGTGCTGCCAGCCAGCATCACCTGGACAGGCTGGAGTGCTGGGCAGAGAGGAACCTAATGAGGCTCAACAAGGAACAACCATGCACCAGTATAGGTTAGGGGCAGAACTGCTGGAAAGCAGCCCTCAGGAGAAGGATTTGGGAGTACACAAAAAGTTAACCATGAGCCAGAAATGGGATACATCAGGGAGAGTGTGGCCAGTCATCCTCCCCGACTATTCTACCTTGATGAGGCCACATCTGGAATAGTGTGTCCAGTTCTGGGCTCCCCAGAAAGTCCAGCAGAGGGGATTACGGATGATTGGGGGACTGGAACATGTCTCTTAGAAGAAAAGCTGAGAGAGTAGGGCTGTTTAGCCTGGTGAATACTGAGAGGAGGCCTTATCCATGTCTATAAATATCTAAAGGGTAGGTAAGGAGGATGGAACTGGCCTCTTTTCAGCAGTCCCCAGTGACAGGACAAGGAGCACTGGGCACAAGCTGGAAAACAGGCAGTTCCATCTAAACATGAGAAGAAACTTTTTCCCTGTGAGGGTGACAGAGCACTGGCACAGGCTGCCCAGGGAGGTTGTGGAGTCTCCACCTCTGAAGACTTTCAAAACCCACCTGAATGCATTCGTGTGTGATGTGCTCTAGGCAATTCTGCTTTAGCAGGGTAGATGGACTAGAGTTAAGAAATTTTCAGTTTGTTACCTGGTCCAGATTAGGTCATGCTAGATAGCAAGCCTTTTGTAGGTTTAGCACAGAAAGTATTATCTGGTTGTATAATCCTACACCATCATGCATTATTGCTGTATCATTACTGCACTGCAACAGAATCTGCAATCCCCTGAACCACAAAGATTTAAAAATTAGCTCCACAGATCTTCTTACCTTAGATCTAAATGGACAAGAAAAGGACATTTTTCCACCAGTGTTTTAACATCTGAAAAGAGGAGACACACAGAGTCAGTCCATCTTTCAGTAAGAAGACATACATGCTTTGCACAACCTACTCACTTACACATAATGTTCATTTATATCTTCTCTACTGGAACCCCACAACTAAAACACAACTTTTTCTTAAATAAAAGAAACAATTCATACACAGAGCATATAGTTTGCCTGTCAATATAACTTTGCAGTGACTTTTTTAATGCTCTGCAAAATAGATCCATTTAGTCAAAAGTGTCACTAAAAGCCACTGGTGCCAGCAACTTAGCAAATGAATAAATAATTCAGATGATGATGTTGCAGAAATCTACTCTGACACTGTAATGGTGAGATGCCTGGAATTCCTACATGTAGTGAAAAAATACCAAAATTTTTTCATACATCTAATACCCTTTCAGAGCACCAAGTTCTTTAGGCATCTCCATTTTTACCCACAGAAAGTTGTTCCCTCATGACAGAAAGTTACAATTTTCCCTAAATTAAACTGTAAATTCCTGAAAGCATCTTTTAATTTCCTGCAAGTAGCATAGAATCACCTGTGGTTCAGACACCACCTTAAAACCACTATTATTAGCAAGATGCTAGTCAGCATACAAGAGGATTTTGATATTTCAAAATCCACATGCAAAAACTAAAGCAAACAATACCTAAATTAATGATGATTAGTGGACTATTTGAATCTTATGCCTTACAGATTGCAATGAAACAGAGTCAATTTATTCATAAAAATGTTTTGCAAACAGAAGAGCTCTGCACGCTGTCTCTAATGGTCAGATCAATAGAAGGTTCAATTTTTTGATTTGGAGGAGACTACGTACCATGATTGTTCACAAGGTTTGTGCTGAGATAAAAAGAGGGCTGGAGTATTTCCCGACAAGGGAATGCATGCCAAAGTCAGTGTGATGTTTAAACAGAAAAAGAGAGATATCACTGCCTGTGTGCCAGCCAATGCTCCATCATCACACTTGCTCATTGATAAAATCAATTTCTGTTTAACTTTGATAGTAAAGAGAAATTTCGGTGGTAATTTCTCTTCACTTTTCTCTTTAGCTATGCTCCTGTCCCTTTTGTCGTGCCTTCTCCCCAAATCTAGATTTCTCTGCATCTTCTATTGCACTTCAACTTTACTCAACTTCTCATCCTAACACCAGTGCTAAGTAATTAGTTAATATTGATTACTGAGATTCTTTGCCTTCTGAAGTAACTGGTATCTGCAGGACATCATGTCAGGCTGAAACTCAAGTAGTTACTAGGAGACTGCTCCCTTTTGAAAGATGCCTTCAGCAGCCACAACAGTAAAAGCCTTAAGAAGGCTCCAAGAACAGTATCTGCAAAGATAATTCACAGTCAAACATGAGATCCAATGTATCCTGCTTCCAGCACTTCAGAAGGCCTATACCTTTCAGCTGAAGATGAAATGAACTTTCACATGACTATTTTTAAAATTCACCACTCAGGGGTGAGCCAGAGACATGAGTAAGATTCTCTGACAGCAAGAACATCAACAAAACCAGCGCTAGTGCATTATTTTTCTATACACATAGTGGATTCCAGCCAGAAGAAAACAGAAGGCTTGCTACTTTATTTCATAGTGGGATAAAGGTTTGCCATGCTGCTATTTACCTCGTATTTGTAGGTTCTGTCTGTATCCACTTAAATTTAACTGGGTAACTTTTGAAGTAATATGATTGACTGCTGTTCTGACATGGGTGGCTGTGAAGTCACACCAGGACAAATTCAGCTCCTCCAACCTACAAACAAAGGAACAAAGAGTTGTTTGGAAGAATGACTGAAACATAGTTTGAGCTCTGATATTATCTAATTACAGTTCATACTTTGAAGGAAAAAGAACTTGTAACACCTACTACCAACTTTGTGTATGTGTAACTACAAGTTTTGCTATGACAGTTATTAAGCACAGCTGCAGATTGCGCAACGAGGCTGCAGAATCTTGTCGTTGGAGGTTTTCAAGATCCAGCCAAAGTCCTCATCAACTCCATCTTTCTATGGTCAATTTATACCGTGCTCTAGGCAAGGGGCTAAAGTGGCTTGCAGAGGCCACTTTCAGGTGGAATAATTCAGTAATATCTTAGGAAATTCAATGTTTCTTTCCAGGGACTGCCATGGGGAGATACTGTCTTTTCATCTTGTTTTTGCATCTGTGACCTGAATCTGTTACTACTGAACAGATGTTCACATTGAGAGGAAAAAACCTATCCATTATTAGCATTGGTCAGATGACCAATTAATCCTAATTAGCATAAAATACTTCATAGTTTTATATAAGCATTGGCTATGCTGTGACCTTAACTCTCTTTGAATGCTTGATTACGTATAGCCTATCACCCTTCGGGGCTAGCACAAAGTATTTGTTTTGTGTGCAGGTGGTGTAGATTTAACCTGAGGGCAAAGACACAGTGAACAGCAAAACTAGAGCATCTGCTTCTCAGTCTCTATGAAGACGCACATTTAAATAGCCACTAGCCTGCCTAGAATCAGGTTTGCCATCTGCTATTCACTGTGCACTGTACAGACTGCCATTCTCTAAAGAGCTCATGATCCAAGTAATCAGACCAAGCCATAGAAAGCATTATCTACCCATGAAAGGCAGAAAGATTAAGGCTTTGTCTGCCCACTAACTTGCAGTTTGATTAAAAACATGCTTTTGCAGAAGCAAAGATTAAGCAGGTTGCCCATCAACTCCCAGGAAGACAGCAGAAAGATCAGAATATAAATCCCAGATTGACTGGGTCTCAGTTCAGTGACTTCCTGCCAGCAGATAGTTTAATCATTGGAGCTGTCAATCTGAACACAGAGCTTTAAAAAGTTACTGAAGGTTACTGAAGGATTACTCTATCAGGGATGGAAAGGCACAATGTTTTCTGCCAGTCACGCTGTACTCCGATTGGAAAGAGAGCTCTGGGATTCCACTTTTCAGTTTTAAAACACTTTCACAATCACATACTGCTTTTATTAATGAAAGCAAAACAAAGGAATATAATTGGTGTTTCGTCCTTACCATTAAGAATGATTAAGAAAACTCATGAGAAGCTACCAAAGTACATATCTGGTATTAAAGAAAACAGCTTGATGGCAAGAAAAGAAGAAAATAGCTCAACAGAAAGAAACTACCTCACTATTGATCTAGTAATTAGCTGTTAGGCATTTAAGAACAGAAACTGGCTCATAAAAAAAAAAAAAAGAGACAAGTACTAATAGGATGCCTATGGAAAAAAATAAAAAGGATCCTTTTTCTCAGGAATAGCAAAAATTATTTTTGTCTTACATAAAACAGCTGCTCAACATCAGCTCCAAGGCTCCTGCAGAAAACCCTGAGCATCCACAAAGATTTAGTCGCATCAAACCAAAATTCTTAGCAATGCTCCTGTAGAGAAGAGAAGAAAGATAATTTAAAAAAAAAGTCTCATAAAAATAATCGCACATCCTCACATTGAAATTTTATGAGCTAAGATCCTGGGCACAGAATTAGTTGTTAAACATGAAGCAGTGCATCTTCAGTAAATAGACCGACCTAGAGTCACTATGGAGCTCAGTTTTGTACTTGCTGCATCATGGCACAACTTTGAAAGGGGTATTTGCCTACATACCTGACACCCTGACAAGTCTGCATATTTATAAATTCCTAAGTTTAAAAGGAAACTATTTTCACCTTCACCTGTTGTAAGCCATTAAAACACACACCATGGCTTTTTAGAGATGATTGTATCTCTACAAAAGATAAAGTAACCCCTCTGGAAAACGGAGGTTATTCTGGAACAAAACACATGTCCCGGAAGCATCCCCCTCAATGCATTCATTTGCAAGACTAAGGCAGATGCAGTTGGCGAAACCTGGAAACCCTGGAAAACTCATTATCTACAACTGTACACACAAGTCAATAACATTCCATCATTGGTGCTTAATTACTCAATTTTCAAATACTTTTGATCTGGTATCAAAAGCTGAACTATATTGGTTTATTTGTGCTTGCTGTGTCTCTTTATTTCCTCTCTGGTGCAAGTGAAGCATCAGAAACATCAAAAAGTAGAAAGCAGGACACCCAAAGTCTATGCCATCTGACCTACAGTCCCCAAAACCTCTACAATCACCTCATGTGCTTGAACAGGAGGCTGATTGCACACTCATTGGTATCTTCGCAGTTTAACCAAACAACAATGCATCTACTTGACAGAATCCTAGTTAGAATCATTGAATGTGTTGGGCTGGAAGAGGCCTTTAAAGGTAACCTAGTCCAACTGCCCTGCAGTGAGCAGGGACATCTCGGAACCTCATCAAGTCTGACCTTGGTTGCCTCCAGAGATGGGACCACCACGATAGCTCTGTGCAACCTGTTCCAGTATTTCACCACCCTCATAGGAAAGAGAGTCTTCTAATTTCTAACCTAAACCCACCCTGCTCTAGGTTAAAACCATTGCCCCTTGTCCTAGCACCACACACCCTCATAAACAGCAAGCTTTCCTGTAGCTCCCTCAGGTACTGGAAGGCCACTATAAGGTCTCTCCAGAGCCTTCTCTTCTCCAGGTTGAACAGCTTCAACCCTCTCAGCTTGCCATAGAACAGAATCATAAAACAGTTTTGGCTGGAAGAGACCTTCAAGATCAAGTCCAACCTTTTCCTAGCCCCATCAACACCACTAAACCATATCCTTCAAGGCAACATCTATCCTTCTCTTAAACAGGGATGCTGACTCAACCACCTCCCTGGGCAGCCTGTTCCAATGCCTGACAACCCTCTCAGTAAGAAATTCTTTCTAATATCCAACCTGAACCTCCCCTGGTGCAACTTAAGGCCTTTTCCCCTTGTCCTATCACTCGACACTAGGGAGAAAAGACCAACCCCCACCTCGCAACAGCCTTCTTTCAAGTAGTTGTAGAAAGCAATAAGGTCTTCCTTCAGTCTCCTCTTCTCCAGGCTAAACAGCCCCAGATGCCTCAGCCTTTCCTCATAGGACATATGATCCAAATCCTTTACCAGCTTGGCAGTCACCTCTGTACCCTCTGCAGCACCTCAATGTCTGTCTTGTAGTGAGGGGCCCAAAACTGGACACAGTACTCGAGGCGATGCCTCACCAAAGCCAAGTACAGGGGCATGATCACCTCCCTGCTCCTGCTGACAATTCCTAATCCTGAAGGCTCATGTCCAGCTTTCCATGTAACAGTACCCACAAGCCCTTTTCCACAGGGCTGTAATCCATCACCTCATCCCTCAGCCTGTATTGATAATGAGGATTGCCCCGACTCAGCTGTAGGACCTTGCAGTTGGTCTTGTTGAACCTCATGAGGTTCACAAAGGCCCACATCTCTCACGCTGGAGGACATCCCACCCCTCTGGTATGTTGACCCCACCACTCAGCTTGGTGTCATCTGCAAACTTGCTGAGAGTGCACTTGATCCCAACTGCCTATATCACTGCTGAAGATATCAAACAGCACTGATCTCAGCACCGACCCCGACTCGTATTCATCTCCATTTGGACATCATGCCACTGACCACTGATGTAGTCACTCCATTGCAAAAAGCAACCAGGTTGGTCAGGCAGGACATGCCCTTGGCGAAGCCATGCTGGCTGTCTTGAACAACCTCCCTGTCCCCCCTGTGCCTTAGCAGAGCTTCTAGGAGGATCTGTTCCATGATTTTTAAAGGCACAGAATTTTCCAGAGACTCCAAGTAAAGTTCAATAAATGTGAGAAATAGTGCAGAAGCGCAATGAGCATCTGGTGGGAGAGCTGCTTAGACCACGTAAAATAGAATCTGTATGCCAAACACAGAGTTCTTCTGGGAGCACAGAAGCAGGAAAATAAAATTAGCTCTGCTATACAGCCTGGCTGTAGGTAGAGCCAATGGACATATAAACCCTAGAGTGACAAACAGTTTCTCCAAGCTTCTCCCATTCTATGGAATGAAAAAAAGACAACAAGAAACACTCTTCCAGAGGGGTGCTTTCTCTTCAGTTCAACTAGCCTGCCAGCTATTTCTGTGAGATGCCTAAACCTGGCCATTTCAAGACCCTCACAATTTATAACTCCCAACTGCATTCTTTCACTAGCCTGTGCCAAACAGAAGGTGTTTGCTGAGTATTTCCAAACATGTCACTCACTTGATGATTTTGTCAGAAAGCTCTAGTCCCTCCAAGCTGAGGTTCTGCAGCCGTTCACACAGACAAAGAATACTCTCAAGATCTGCAACAGACACTGTGCAGTTTGACAAATCCATATGCTGAACTCTGAGAGGTCTAAAAAAAAGAAGAAAGCAGGTTACTAAAATTGCATTAAAACATGCTCCACAAATGCCCCATACCATATATACTACATACCCTATATACCACAGTATACCCTGTACACTACAACTGTGCAAAGCTTACAGAAAATAATTTTAGTTTTGTATTCAGCTGCACACTGGACATACAACTAAGCTCACTGGGCCTACTGCTAAGCTACCAGCCCAAACCGCAGAACTCTTATCTTCAAGCCATTTACAGAGCTTATTGTAACACCCAAGAGTCTATCCTGATGGAGTTAAATGATATTCTGAGTTTCCCATATAAAAATGGAGATGTTGACAACTCCTGGTTCTACAAGATAAATCACAAATGGATGATGGTGCTTGATACTTAAAAAAAAAAACAACTCACATTAACTTGATTTTAAATAACTGACAGGTGAATGTAGATCCTCTTATCTGAACACAGAGAAACACAGAATATGTTGGGCTGGAAGGGACCTTCAAAGGTTATCTAGTCCAAGCCCCTTGCAGTAAGCATGGACATCTTCAACCAGATCGGGTTGCTCAGAACCCCACTGAGCCTGACCATGATTGGTTTCCAGGGATGGAGCCTCCATCACCTCTGGGCAACCTGTTCCAGTGTTTCACCTTCCTCATAGGAAAGAACTTCTTCTGTTGTCTAATCTAGGCCCACCCTGCTCTAGGTTAAAACCATTGTCTCTCATCCTGTTGCTACATGCCCTTGTAAACAGTAAACATGCCTAACTACTAATCATCTCTTCCACACTCAAAAGACAACACAAATGCTACTACTGATGAGAGGCCTTAAATCCAAAAACACACAGAGAAACTGTGAATATTTCGTTTTCAGGATCCAGAACACACAGAAAAAGCCTTACTTGCTTGTTTTAAACAATGGATTCCAAACACAAGATCTTGGGCAGCGGAATACAATAACACCTGCAGGCAGCAACTGTCCAATCACTCCTGGTGGCAGATTTCTACCAGCCAGATCAAGAGTCTGCCAGAGAGATTCATCAAACCTAAGGCACAGAATTTTACTTGTTAGTGAGTGTGAAAGGGTCAGAACTGTGAGTACAACCACAGAGTGTTTTCTGTGTCACTAAAGATTGAAAAGCTATTTAATACAGCTCACCAATGTTAAAATGTGAGCCATCTTTTTATTATACATATAAATAACGCACATACAGCACAAATTGTATTATATCTGAATAAACAAGATGAGAACCAGATCAGTCTAAGGAAGCAAAGTTTTCTCAGTACTAAATGACAAGAAGCAGTACTTACGAAAGACAATGCCATCTCTTGCAAACCAGGGAAGCTTTCAGCAAGTCACTCAGGGGCAAATATGCAAAGATTGCCAGAATCAATTCATCTGGAATTGCTTCCCAAGAACCACCTTTATGGAAAGATCAAACATGTTCTAGTTAAAGTTGGTTCATTTTTGTCTGCTTATCTAATGCCTTCTCTGGCTTTGCCATTAAAATTACCTCTACAGTCTCTCCCTGCATGTGAGCATGAGCCCACTACTCACCCTTTCAGCTCTTCATTGCGGGAAGACATTACTACCATCTTTGTCTAGGTACAACTGGCAAATGCAAAGCTTTCCACAGTATCAACACAATATACACACTAAAACTACAGAAAACAATTTCCCTGAAAAAAGTTACAATAATTTTTATTCACATACTCATTCTGGGAAGAAGAGCATCTCGTTTACTTTTTTTTGTTTTCCAAGGCTTATATGATCCTCTTTTTTTCCTCCATGCCCAAAATGCCCATCCTTCCTATGCATATCAACCTCCCAGAAAGGAACCCAAGGTGAGCAATGCTTTTGCATGGTACATGGAAAGAAGTACACTGCAAACTGCTGCTTAAAACATGCATTCCAACTACCACCCCCTCAAGAATTATTTGAAAGGATGTGGTGTGATCTCAACTTCTCAGGAGTAGACAAAGGGCTTCAGAAGGTGTTGTCATTCACATGGGAGATCTCTTGATGCTGGAACTCTAGAAAAGCTGCCTATGACCCAGCAGTCTGTGTTACTTAAGAGCAGGGTTGTCTGGGAGCATTTCACACAGCCTAGCACCTAGAGAGAGCTGTTTCTTTATTCTGCATTCCGTAGTTGCTAGGGACTGAAAACACATTTTGATACCAGGGAAAGAAATCCAGCATCCCATGATGCCTCCAAGTGTGCCACGTCTTCAAGTTGCAGTGCTGCTCTTTCCCGGCTAGTCCCTTTCCTGCCCAGAAGCCTTATGCCCTTTGCTGCACGCTCCCTGTAGCTCTCTGGCAGGGTCCCTTGCACTGCTTGCAGTTCAGCTTCAACAGGAGCGGAGATGCTGCACCTCTGGCACAGCTCAGCCTGCACTGCAAGAAACATGGATTGGGATCCTTTTGGTCTCAAGGACCAAGTATCTTAATTGGAAGCTTCAGTGGGGAAAAAAAAGAAATTAAAAACACCAGAAAACCAATCCAACCCTCACCACTAGTTTTAGAATTATATGGGGGACACGAGTGCCAGTAGTCCATATTCACCCAGCTGCTGCAGCTGTACTTTTTGAGAAGCTTGGTCTCACTTGGTGTGTGGTGAAGTATCTCCTGGAATGTGTCCCTTGGACAGAGTAAAAGGGCCTCGCCTGGCCTCTTTGCCACCCAGCACAGCGCCCAGCAGCACGAGCAGATAGGCACAGGGACATGCAACACAAAGCCCCAGCACATGGGTATGGTCTGGCAGGGCTAGGCAGCAGCCAGCCATGGCTTACGTTGGCCACAATTCTGGAGGAGACAAACCGCCGCTGCTTAAATAAAACTGCTTACATAAAACTGGACTTAACAGCTCAACGCTGAAAGTTACCAGATCTAGAAGTGACATTACGCTGGGACAGAGAAAAGACAAAAAAAGCCCAAAGAATAAAGCACTAAGGACTTGTGATGCCCACTCTCCATCCCTTTTG